CTGTAGATAATCTATATGTGTGTCTGTAGATGATCTGACTGTGTGTGTCTGTAGATGATCTGTCTGTGTGTCTGTAGATGATCTGTCAGTGTGTCTGTAGATGATCTGACTGTGTGTGTCTGTAGATGATCTGTCTGTGTGTCTGTAGATGATCTGTCTGTATGTCTGTAGATGATCTGTCTGAGTGTCTATAGATGATCTGATTGTGTGTCTGTAGATGATCTGTCTGTGTGTGTGTATATGTTCTCTCTGTGTGTGTCTGTAGATGATCTGACTGTGTCTGTAGATGATCTGACTGTGTCTGTAGATGATCTGACTGTGTCTGTAGATGATCTGACTGTGTCTGTAGATGATCTGACTGTGTCTGTAGATGATCTGACTGTGTCTGTAGATGATCTGACTGTGTCTGTAGATGATCTGACTGTGTCTGTAGATGATCTGACTGTGTCTGTAGATGATCTGACTGTGTCTGTAGATGATCTGACTGTGTCTGTAGATGATCTGACTGTGTCTGTAGATGATCTGACTGTGTCTGTAGATGATCTGACTGTGTCTGTAGATGATCTGACTGTGTCTGTAGATGATCTGACTGTGTCTGTAGATGATCTGACTGTGTCTGTAGATGATCTGACTGTGTCTGTAGATGATCTGTCTGTGTGTTTCTGTAGGTTGTCTGGTTGTATGGTGACAGGGGAAGGCTGTGGTTATTTGTCTTCAGCTCTGAGTTCAAACCCCTCACATCTGAGAGAGCTGGATCTGAGCTACAATCACCCAGGACCATCAGGATTCCAGCTGCTCAAACACAAACTGCAGGATCCAAACTATAAACTGCAGATACTCAAGTATGTGGAGCGCTGCTATTTTTTATGTTTAGGAGCATTTTACAGTAAAAGGGCAACATAAGTGGAATTATTCTGTTAAATCTAAATCCACGAGAGAAACATGTTTACATGGTTGCATGTTTGTAAATATAGGAAATAGGGGCGGTTTCAAACCATGTTTTAGACTGTCTTTGTTACACTGTAGTTTTAGGTAGAAAGTGCTTAGCAATGGTGCTGACTGATGAATTTGCACAATGTTTCTCTTTAAAGTGTGCTTATTGTGCCATTTTTAAGGTTGCTAATATTGTAATGGGAGTCTCCTCCGATATGTTTACATGCATGCAAGGTCAAAAAATTATTTTGTTTTCTCAACATATTTAGTATCATCTCATTTTCCAACGATTCTCAAATAATTAATTCAAAGCAGTTCTAAGATTCAGTCTCTCTAAACCCCTCCTTTCTGTGAGCCTACTTTGCTCTGATTGGTCAGATGGCCTAGTCTATTGTGATCAGTCTACAATGAGTGTCGAAAACAATACGCCCGCCTAAGTGGGATTCGAATTACTGACTTGTTTAGGCTGTTCAGAGTTGACTCTTTTCGGAGACAATAACTTTATTTACAACTTTGCACATCGTTTACATTCACATACATTACACACTGCATGAAAGTCAATATTGAAAATGGCATAATAGGGGCACTTTAAGCATATTGAAATACCGGATAGGCATGTAAAGAATGTTTTTTAAAAAACAGATTTTCACCACAGGGGGTCTTTAATGTTCGCAAATGTATTACTCATCTCTTCATGTAGTGATAAGAGTATTGGATTTGTAAACTGCAGACAAAGTTGTCTAAAACATAAATCATAATTGAATGAATGAATGAAAGATGCATTTATATAACACTTTATTGTGTATTGTTGTATGCCCAAACAGTGGCGGAGCTATAGTTTTATAGATGGGGTGGCCAAGGCTAATTCAGGGGGTCCATAGACCATGATAGAAAATCAGTGTATTACCCCAACCTGGCATAAAAAAGCATGAATAAATCCTATGATTGCATACTTCACATTACCCCACATTAGTTAAACATACCGTAACTTCAGATGTTTTTTGAGCAATGTTGCTTAGGCACTTTCCCATTAAGAATAGGTAAATTTCTATCTGGATAATTTAGATCAGTCATGGGCCCTGTGTCTCACCTGGTTGCCCATTGATGGCAACATTGCTCAAAAAGTTGCCCTGTGTATCATCAGCCTTAACTTATTTCTCTTATTTAACCAGTGGTTGGAGCAAACGATATAACATTACCTTGTAGGCTACAGACATTTTTTTTGTTGTTCAGGAAACCTAAAACTTCAACTTACTTTAAACAGGGCTGACAACTTTTGAGTTCAGCGTGAAGTGAGAATTATTCAGGAATAATTAACAAGCTTGCGATTAAGTATGTTATTTTTTCTCAATTTTTCTAAACTTAAAGGGGACATAACACACACAGTTTCACCCAATCTCATGTTAATCTTGAGTACCTATAGAGTAGTACTGCATCCTTCATATCTCCAAAAAGTCTTTAGTTTGATCATATTTATAAAAGAAAGATACAGCTTTATGATTCTCTCCGGGGAAAAAAACGAGCTCCTGGAGGCGCACCGTGGGCGGAGATAAAGAGTGACGAGCACTTGAGCGCCGATTGCCAACAAAACAGACATTTGATGCCGTTTCACTTACGGTCTGCAGTTCTGAATCATGACCGGGACTTTTATAGCTGGGACCGCTCCATCTTTCAGTATCAAACAATGTGCAAATACAGCGTCGAACTGGGCCTTGTTTATAAAACCTTCGTCAACAAACACACTTGTGAAACTCTGTTGCTGCCCCAAAAAAACTAACTGCGTCCACTGTTTATATAACGCTTTACGAGAAGTGCCATGGGATTTTTAATGACCACAGAGAGCCAGGATTTCGGTTTAACGTCTCATCCGAAAGACGGTGCTTGTTGACAGTATAGTGTCCCCATCACTACACTGGGGCATTAGGACCCACACAGACCACAAGGTGAGCACCCCCTGCTGACCTCACTAACACCTCTTCCAATAGCTAGTTTTCCCAGGAGGTCTCCCATCCAGGTACTGACCAGCTCAACCCTGCTTAGCTTCAGTGGGCAACCACTCTTGGGCAGCAGGGTGATATGGCTGTGGCCCATAATTGACTCGTTATATTAAAGTCTGCATGAACGGGAAGTTGCTGCTAACTTTATTTCAGCATAGTCATGCATTTGCAACTGAAACAGAATATTGAATAGAGGGCGGGGTTTTATTTTAGCACTCCTCCTGTCTCATTGCTAGTCTTGAGGCATGGCTTTCCTTCTCTGATGACGTCAGTTTGACGGCTTGGGCAGAATATCCTGAACCACATCCCTCCAACAGTTAGCTGCTGCAAGTAAATTTGAGTAAATTGCTGGTTAGGTTTGAAACCTAAAGGTTTGAAAGGTTTGAAACGGGTGTCCGGTAAGAGACTTGGCCAACGATGGTTGAAATATGGGAGTAACTCATATGTCATCAGTGATTAACAAGGGCTGAACAGTTCTCCTTAGTTGTAGGTGTATAGTAGTGTGTGTGTTTTTTCTATAAAAAACAGAAAAATGCAAAGTAAATATAAATATACATGACGAATATTCAGCAAATACACAATTGAACAGATTAATAAATAGAAGAAAACAAACTCGCTATTAGGGCTGCCCTCGACTAAGGATTTTTCTGGTCGACTAGTAATCGTTCATTTGAAGCATTAGTCGACTAATCGCACGTTTATTAATAAACCATTTAAATCATTATAATGAGCCTTTAATTGCCTACATAGCCTAGTAAGCACTCAAATGCACGTATAAAGCTTGCCACAGCACACCGGCCGAAGTAAATATTAGGAATGTGTCAGGGAAAAACAGTAAGGAGGCTGCATTAACATTTTAATAATTCATTGATAAACTAGTGCTTTTTTTGTTTTTGTCATCGTCATCTCCGCCTGTATGCATGTTTCATGCAGATTACATAATCTGAGAATTTGTTTTCCATTTGAATTGATTCATTTGAAAGTAGACATTTCACTCTCTATAGATATATTTTATATATACTGTACACAGAGTTTCCGAGACCGAGACGGCAGAAAGTGCATCCTGTTTGCTTTCATTATTTTACAAAAGCACAATGTTTTGTTGTTATTGTGAGTGCACACAAATAAACTCGAGTCTTTACAGATTCGAAAGATGTATTACTCTTATCTGTATGAGCAAAAAATGAGGAGTATTTTAAGTGCAAGTAAGTGCACCGGCGCCTCCATCTGTCCTGCAGAGAGCTACTGTTCAGCTCCACACTCCACACAGACACTTGAATATAGCGCACATTTTTCTAGGTTAACGTTAGATTATGCGGCCATGTAAAGTTGCTAATACTTACATATTTTAGATGATAAGCCATATTTGAGGTTGATGAATGATAGTCAAGCATTTGGATGTCCTGCCCGATGTACTGTATTACCATAGACTAGCTGTTAATGATCTGTCCGTCACAGACTACGTGACTTCACCAATGTGTATTTTTTTTTCCTGCGACCAAGCGACTAATAAAAATTTGGTCGACCAAGCCTCTTCTGGTCAACTAACGATTAGGGCAGCCCTACTCGCTATATCATATACATTAAATTAAGCAGTAAACAGCTTTATCTGTCGCATATCGAATCAGCAGTGCTCTGTCTGGACATGTTCCATGCATATGCACATTAGTTGTTTACATATCTCAAAAACAAGCACTTAGCTTTTATCTAAGATTTGAGAAGCATGGGCATATCTCTGGGAATAGTATTGGTGTAAGGGATTTTTCTCCAGATATCATCAAAGATAAGTTATTGATTCATTCGAAACAGATTCATTTCTATTTTAAACATATCTGTTCAAAGAAATCGGCAGGCCCAGATGGAATTTCTCCGTATATTGTTAAGTGTTGTGCAGATGAATTGACTCCAGCTTGGCTTCCTATATTTCAACAATCTTTGGATTCAGGTATTATTCCCAGTTTGTGGAAAAGAACATTGATTATACCTGTTCCTAAGATAGCTAGGCCTTTAGAGAATAATGATTTTAGACCGGTTGCATTAACATCTGTGATTATGAAATGTTTTGAAAAGTGTGTTGTATCTATGTTGAAAGCAGAGGTTGCTAGTAATCTAGATCCCTTACAGTTTGCCTATAGACAAGGGAGAGGAACTGAAGATGCTATTAACAGCATTATGCACTTGATTTTGAAGCATTTAGAAGATCCTAAAGCTTATGCTCGGTTAGTTTGTTGATTTTAGCTCCGCTTTTAACACGATTTAACAGCATTTGTTAAGTGATAAAATGAAGCAGCTGAGTGTAAACCCATGTATTATTAAGTGGTACTATTCTTACTTGGGTGTTTATATAGATAGTTCACTTATATGGAAAACACACATTGAATGGGTTTGCATTCGACTACAACAGAGACTGTATTTCTTACGTAGGTTACGTCTCTATGGAGTAAACAAGAATCTTATGCTGCTGTTTTAGAAAGCTGTTTTAGAAAGTATTGTTAGGTATGGTATCACAGTGTGGTTTGGTAACCCATCAGTACAGTTTAAATCTAAGTTGATGCACCTGTTATTGACAGCATGGAGAATTGTTTGGCATGATGAACATTTTAACCTTCAAGTTTTATATGAGGAATGTGTTCTTAATCAGGTAGAGAGGATTCTTGGTGATCAAACTAATTTCTTGTATTTACAATATGAACTACTTCCCTCTGGTAGAAGATATAGAATCCCAATGTGTAAGTTAAATCGATATAACAATTCCTTTGTACCTGTATCGGTGCGGTTGTATAACAAGAGTTAATCTTGATTTTATTTTCTTGATTTTACTTCATTTAGTTTTTATATGTTTATTGTATGTCTGCAGCAACATGTAGTCCATAACAATTTTCCTCTTGAGGACAATAAAAGTATACTACTATACTACTACTATTAGCGAACAAATTACACTGAAATGCAAATAAAATGTACATAAATAACATCAATACAAGCAACTATGAATAAAGGTAATACATACAGCACAACATTGTGCTAAAACATGATATCATAGCATATCATAGCATTGGCCATAACAAAAACAGTGAAATATAATAGACAGCTAGGTCAAGCATATCACACATGCGATCGCTACAAAGATCAGATACACTTACTATAAACAGACCCATAACACCCATAGAATGAGTAAAACCATATATGATATATACAGTGTTAAAGTTTAACATATGATTCACTCTCAACTTCGCACCAAGCGCTGTGGGCGGGATGTTTGCCTGCACATTGATCAACAAACACTGATTGGCTGCTGTGCTGGATACTGAGAAAAAAAGAGAACGATTTGATCAGAAGTTTCATTACATTTTTGATTTCATGACAGCTTTAATGGTCTGTATGTGAATAGCTATTCCCATTACTCACTATTCTTTTTGTTTGTATGTTTGTGTGTCTCTTTAGTTTGGATCATGGCGGACCTTTCAGGATCAAACCAGGACTATTGAAATGTAGGTTCTTTCTCTGATACAGACATGCTCGTTTAATGAAAACAAATGATTAATGCACTGTGTTTCTGTGTTCAGATGCCTGTGATCTCACACTGGATCCAAACACAGCAAACACTCAGCTCATCCTGTCTGAAAACAGAAAGATCACGTATGTGGAGGATCATCAGCCGTATCCTGATCATCCAGAGAGATTTGCTGATATTCCTCAGGTTCTGTGTCGAGAGAGTCTGACTGGACGCTGTTACTGGGAGATTGAATGGGATTCTTGGGCTCGTATAGCAGTGGCCTATAAAGGGATCAGCAGGAAAGAAGGGACTGTCTGTAAGTTTGGATACAATGACAAATCCTGGAGTCTTTTCTGCAATGCTAGTGGATTTTCTTTCTGGCACAATAATTTACAATATGAACTACTTCCCTCTGGTAGAAGATATAGAATCCCAATGTGTAAGTTAAATCGATATAACAATTCCTTTGTACCTGTATCGGTGCGGTTGTATAACAAGAGTTAATCTTGATTTTATTTTCTTGATTTTACTTCATTTAGTTTTTATATGTTTATTGTATGTCTGCAGCAACATGTAGTCCATAACAATTTTCCTCTTGAGGACAATAAAAGTATACTACTATACTACTACTATTAGCGAACAAATTACACTGAAATGCAAATAAAATGTACATAAATAACATCAATACAAGCAACTATGAATAAAGGTAATACATACAGCACAACATTGTGCTAAAACATGATATCATAGCATATCATAGCATTGGCCATAACAAAAACAGTGAAATATAATAGACAGCTAGGTCAAGCATATCACACATGCGATCGCTACAAAGATCAGATACACTTACTATAAACAGACCCATAACACCCATAGAATGAGTAAAACCATATATGATATATACAGTGTTAAAGTTTAACATATGATTCACTCTCAACTTCGCACCAAGCGCTGTGGGCGGGATGTTTGCCTGCACATTGATCAACAAACACTGATTGGCTGCTGTGCTGGATACTGAGAAAAAAAGAGAACGATTTGATCAGAAGGTTCATTACATTTTTGATTTCATGACAGCTTTAATGGTCTGTATGTGAATAGCTATTCCCATTACTCACTATTCTTTTTGTTTGTATGTTTGTGTGTATCTTTAGTTTGGATCATGGCGGACCTTTCAGGATCAAACCAGGACTATTGAAATGTAGGTTCTTTCTCTGATACAGACATGCTCGTTTAATGAAAACAAATGATTAATGCACTGTGTTTCTGTGTTCAGATGCCTGTGATCTCACACTGGATCCAAACACAGCAAACACTCAGCTCATCCTGTCTGAAAACAGAAAGATCACGTATGTGGAGGATCATCAGCCGTATCCTGATCATCCAGAGAGATTTGCTGATATTCCTCAGGTTCTGTGTCGAGAGAGTCTGACTGGACGCTGTTACTGGGAGATTGAATGGGATTCTTGGGCTCGTATAGCAGTGGCCTATAAAGGGATCAGCAGGAAAGAAGGGACTGTCTGTAAGTTTGGATACAATGACAAATCCTGGAGTCTTTTCTGCAATGCTAGTGGATTTTCTTTCTGGCACAATAATGTCAGCAATAGAGTATCAATCCCTTTATCATCTAATAGAGTAGGAGTGTGTCTGGACTGGTCGGCTGGCAGTCTGTCGTATTACAGCGTCTCTGACACACACACACTCACACACTTACACACACTCAACACCACATTCACTGAACCCCTCTACGCTGGATTCAAGGTTTTTGGTTCTTCACTGTCTCTGTGTCAGATGAAACAACAAACACACAACTGACAACACTTTTTCCACCATCATAATCTTGTTCATATGGCCATAATTGGAAAAGTCTGATGAAACCTGCTGATTCACATAAATGTCAGAAAGTTCGGATTTCACTGTCTTGTTCATAAGCAGGTGTAAATTTAAACTGTAAATAATGAAGCACATCAAACCTTTCTGTGTTCAGGCTACGTTCTGATTTTATATATTTCACACAATCCAGATTCTTTTGTTTAGTCAGCACTTCCAGGTAGTGTTTTATGTGTTTTTAAATTTTTTTTTATTTACGTACGTACAAGTTTTAAATGTGCAGTTTGCTTCTTTTTATTCTTTTACTTTTTCCTGCATTGTATATACTATTGGTCTATAGTCAGTATAAACAAGTAATAAATACATCTTCGACACTAACTAACTATATGTTGTTTATTTACAGTGCAGTGACACTACTCTGTAAGAAAGACTTCAAGGGTGTGGAAACTGATTTTTGGTTACAAACACCCTGTCTAGGACTGGCACCTTTTATATAACAATCTCCACTCTAATAGAAATACTTAGAAATGTGAAGAAACTCCAGCAGCTTTTACATCTTGACTGTCAGAAAGGAGACAGATAAGACACAAAAAATACTGCAACATATAGATGAGATGAACATCTTGAAGTGTCTAGAATCATCCACAAGTGCACAGACAAAAATAAAAACCTCAGATAAACTCAAGTAAATATTCTTTAGGAGTTTGGTGTCAACTGATATGGATATTCAGCATTGATCTCAGCTTATGAAATCGTTCAGCAATTCTCTTCAACAGTCAGAGGAGTTATTAAAGCATAACAGTGGGCCCATGTCATGTATACTGGTTATGTGGGCTGTGAATGACAAAAAATAAATTAACAGGTTCCTCCAGATGCAGTTTTCCTGCTGTTTGTTTACTGTAAAGATGCCTTCTAAATTTTGAGAGCAAAAGTTTTATACTGTCAAAGCAGCTTTGTTGGCAAATGCGGCGAATCCATGTAAACAACTCGAACCCGCTGCAAAATCTGCATTGTGACCACCTTCATGTGAAATTCCCAAACGATTAGGGAATTGAAATAAAGCAGTTCAATCTTTTCGTTCTGTCAGTTTTTTCAACTTTAGAATGCAGTTTAATTTATGTTCATCATACGAATAAATAATTAAACATTATTAATGTTAATGCTAGAGACAGAGGTTGTTTAGCACACACAAGCATTTTTATGAACTCCATCATAACATTGGATTGTGATTAGAGTGCCCCCTTCTGGACAGAGATGGGTCAGACAAACATTGGATTTTAATAGGA